CATGCAAACTCCACACAGAACAGTAACAGAAATGTGCTATCCAAAATAACAAGTTTTAAAAAGGGAAAAAACAACAACAAAACATTTTTACAGATGATAATACTCCTGAAAATCTTTTCATTGTCACTGCAATTTAATGCTATCTTTCAGTAATTGTTATGAGTTGTTACGGACATGCTTTGCATTTATAATTACTGTGGATTTATCTCACCCAGCCTAAGTTGTCCATGGAGATTGCTTTTTTGACTAAATTTGGACTAAACGACTGTCATGATCTTTAAAAAGAGAACCCTTTATGTCTAAAGTTGGTTTAAAGGTAAAAGATCAAAAGTAATTTGTTTCAGTCTATTGCTGGACTTGAATTCATGTTTATCCTCCTGAACATTTTCTGTTGATTAGAGGTCACATTTTAACATTGTTTAGAAATTTGGCAAAGTCATCTTCAGTATGTTTTCAATGGGTTTTTGCTGGGTTGAACAGTAGCACAAGCACTTCTATGCTGATAATTTGATTCAAGCCATCAAAGCAGTCCTCTGCACAGGCTGGCAAAGTACTTGTATGCAGGTATACTAAGAGAAGCTAAATTAAATATTTTTTACCTTGCAAAATGTCATGATGTCTCTCTGGATTTATACTATCCAGTGTCATTTCAGCTCTCTACCGATCTGGAATGAGTTTTATTCCCTTTGTTAATACAAATTAAACCTAGGGATGTGTAATAAGTCAGCTAGATGACTGCTAAGTGGTTGTGGCCATCACTCAACAGGAAAATAAGATGTGGTTAATGTGATTTTAAAAAAAGATTCTCAAATGAAAATAATGTAGGGCTTTTTTTCTTGACAATTTTTAACTTGGTGCATTAAATTGTGTTCAATTTCGCCTTTTTTCCCCCATTTATGTTTTCCTTGTACTCTTTTAGAGTAGTTACTTAGTCTAAGTGCTACTCATATTTAATCACTAGTTCCAGGAACATTCTCACAATATTCTTTTTTACAACACAGCAGCACATTTTCTATGCAATAATGCAGAGGATGGCATCAGAGGAAAATGGAATATGGTCAATAGCTCATAAATGTGGCATTATTAACCGGTCTTAATACCATGGGAAATAGCTGGACTTGGATCTAATTACCTTTTATTTATAGCTCCACAACAACAATCTCCAATAAACTAGAAGCTCTGTGCCATCAGTACGAGTAAACCATAAACCATAGTAACCAGGTAACTGTGTCACACGCTCTGGTCACAACCAGTGGCTCGGTATTTCAGTGGGAACTAGACGGGTCTCTTTTTACACAGCCAACAAGACTGGTGCAGTTTCTATCACCATCTTACAATCACATCAGTGGACAGCACACCCCTAAAGACTTGAGACGGGCGGGATTAATGAACAGCCGTGTGGTGTTGACACCTCAAGGGACAAGCAGGTAAAGGACAAAAACGGCTGTTCGAAAAACTCTTTTATGTTGAATTTTATTCTCTCTTTTTTGTGCATTTTAAAACTCTAAATATACCATCTATGTTAAAATCAATTAGTAGGAAAAAAATGAAAAAAGAGACATAATTGAAAGAAAATATTAAGTACAAATTAAAGATTGAAGTGCTGCCAATATTATAATACAAAGTGTACCACAGGAGGGAAATAATTTGTACTTAAATGTGAGAACAACAGACAACTTTGATTTTCATCAAACGTTCAATGGATCAAAATCCCCTTAGCTAGCAATCGGGGGCAGGATGATGAAAAGTTCATGAAAAACAGGCCTTTTATCTGTCTCTTTGACTGAGTATCGTAATGTTTTTTTTAATAGAGGAATTTTGCATGAAACTAGAACTGCAAAAGCAGAAAAGTTCTCTTGTTTGTGTACAATAGGAAAGTGAAATGTTGCAAGTTATGAGAAAATTTTAAAAGACACATTATAACTTTCCTCTTTATTTTATCTGAGAACCTCACCAGTGGCGGCTTTTTAATACACTTTTCATCATACTGTAACAGCACCAAACTCCAGTCAAACTCCCCTGTGAATTGGGAACCCATTACATTTGATTTTATGGATCAAGGAGCTCCCATGCAACCAGCTTTGGCATGTTAAATGGAATGGCTGTCTATCTAATGAACCAGTTTTAAACACAGGTGTCCCCAAGGGCCATGCCATTTCCTCCTTTTTATTGTCTATTTATTCTGATAAGATTATGTGCAACAATAACGGCCTTTCTCTGGTTAGGCATGCGTACAGCATGACTCAGGAGGCCAGTCTGATTCCCAATCAGCCGCTGCAATGGACGATGATGTTACAGAGCTGACAGATTGACTTGAGCCTTGCCACCTCACAAGAAACAATCCCCCCCCCCAAAAAAAATAAATAAATAAATAAAATAAGAGCTTAACAAGTCCAAAGGTGCCCAGTGGGAGCATGGCCCGTCCTAAAGCAAGTTTTTAACAGTAGCTTCATAGAGATGACCAGCTCCTTATTGTCATGGTATATATTTACTTTATTTACAATGACACACAGTATAATTTCTGAAGCAAATGCTCAGACGAAGTGAAGTCAATAAAGATACTCATTACTGTCTGCAGCTTCAACACAGTGTCCTAGTTTGGTCAGCTATCTGTGAGGAGCTTGGTCAATCAGGAGACTAAAATCATTTGGCTGCCAATAACTCCATGATCACCAGCTGGCTTGCACACTAAGACTTTTGCCTTCAGTGGGGTAGAGAGGGGGCTCTCTGCATCCCTTGAGTGTAGGATGTGGTGCAATGGCTGTTTAGAAAGATTACCAATAGCTTGAACACCCATGTGAGGAGAAGACTGAAATATTGATTTGCCATATAGGACCATCAACAGCCAAGTGTATTTATTAGTGTTTTTAATTAGTTTATTTTCTGTTTTTATGGCACACATCATTACAAATCATGAATCTTTTTTTATCACCATCCCCATTCACATTCAGCACAGACTTAAGGAGTAAGAAACATGCACAGCCAATCGATACATGTAGCTAAGAACCATTCATTTCAAAGGGAATTAGTACATGTTTTATTCCCATGGTCGACTCCAATCAATGTTATCTCTCCTAAAATCAGAGACCAGAGAGCTATGACTTAGGCTTTGATGTCTCAGACAATCACTGAAATCTAATAATAGTTGAGAGACTGATTTGTGGACAGATTTTGGGGTTTTATGCAATAAAATTCTTTATCAAATCTGTACTCTGAGGATACCCCGCTGGAGTTTTCACCATCACCTTCTACATCTTTTTCATTTTACTCCCTGTGGAATTTTACATCTTGGTCAGATCACAGGCAAAGTCTTGAGGTGAATATTTGATAGAACTACCCCACACCACAGAAATGAAGTAATTTTCCTTCAAATGTCCCTGTAAGATTGGATTTATTATCAGTCATTTACATCTAATATAGCCTGAGCTATAACATCTAGTCATAAAATGCCATCAATCTAAACTCTACTGTTTCAGTCATACTTTTGGGACCATGGAAAGGAGTTCAGACTGTATAAATCTCAAATGTTGACAGCTGCAGTGACAACCCCATCAGCGATAATCCAGTGAACAGTGTCCTGCAGTAGCAAAGGCCATCGTTGGTGAAGACATCTCAGACCAGAAGCATATTTCACATAGCAATCCATGAATCAACGTTATTATTAGTTATATTTCAGGACCTTCTTCAATGACCAACGTCTGTGATGCCTCTTATGTTATGACATACACCACAAAAGAAATTGCACCAGATAAGAAAACGCTTATCAGGAACATGCAAAATAATATAATTCACCAAGTGAAATATGTCTGCATTTTGGGATAACACATGAATATTTGCATTTTTTCTGGGACACAGGGATCTTTAGATGTGGTCTCAGACTAATGTTTCAGCCGCACACCCGTTTGCCCAGCAGACTAAGGTGACTCAAATTACCTGAAGTAAAAAATGCAGAGCAGCTCATTTCTTTTGAACAAGGCTGTTTGTAGTTTAAAGATCTTTGTTCCTGATAAATGCTGCCAGTTGAAAACATTTTTGCATGGTGGATATGTAAAGAGAGATAAAATCTCCATGGCTTTGTCTTTGTTATGGTAAAAAAAAAAAGTGCATGTGCATTTAGCTGTGGTGTAGGTGTGTGTGTGCATTTGTGCGTCTATGTGCACGTTTGTGAGGATGTGGATGTGTGTGTTTGTAAGGGTGTGTGACTGTGATGCGGGCAATCTGGATGTTTACTGCAATGTCTTGTCATCCATTTAAATTGTGCATAGTCCCATCAAGACGTGTTGAAGTGTATCATACTGCAATACAGTATTTAGACGGGCAATTGAACAAGTATCAGCTAAGTGTGAGTAAATGTCAGTGACAAAAGCATGTTCAACTTGCCAAAAATGTCAGATAGTGTCTCATCAGCATCACATAAAGGGCCAGGTTGGACACAATCCTTTTTAATTGTAGCTACTACACCTTCCTGGAAGGCATTACTTGATTATTTCATAAATTATTAATGTGTTTTGATTGCTGCCAAACAGCCTGCACCTTCCCACGGCACTGTCACATCAAATTTACCTAAGGGGTTAACTGTTATTTTAAAGTTCAGGTGGCGAACAGTTTGTTGAGATAACCGATTCCATTACTGTTTGAAAAAACACGAGGGAATCCTCCAAGTGCACACTTATATCCATCTGGCGTCCAAGCAAACAGGCGCGCAATGCGCAAACACTAATAATCTCTTTATAGGTAATAAAAGAAAACACAATTGTGGTTAAATGCTCCAAGTTAAATGCTTTGTTAGAGTGGAATTTATTTGCAGGAACGAATTCTTTTTGTGCGCACGGAATCAGCTGTGCGTAAAAATGTGACAGATTGATGCGCATCGACTGAATAATAAAAACGTCTATATCAGGTAGAAACAAAGTTAAATATCACCAGTGTGTGGGGCATTTTTATGTTCTTTACACCTTTAAAAATATGATAAAGTGTATTTTTGTAAAACTGAAACTTACGCTGCTGTTGTGCCCGGACCAGTGCACCATAGCCTGGTTGTGTGCCGAGTCTCCCGACAGAGCAAAAGTAGAAGTGTCCAGGTGAGGTTCGTTCTGTCTCGGGTTTGACACTCTTGCTTCCCGATACTCGGGTCTTGCGCTGGAAACACCTTGGACAGTTTGCACGAATCTCTCTCTTGAATACGCTTCTCCACTTATACTCCTATCCACGTTTTCGTTGTATGTTGCGCCCACACTCCTCTTTGCCTTCTTTCTTCCGGCAGAAAATGTATTTTCTAACATTATATTCGCCTTGAATCGTCCTTCTTTGTCCTCGAAAATGTTATCATACTTTTTATCGGGAATGTTGAGACCGCTGCTATAGTTTGTTTTGATGTCGATCGGTGCCTCATTTCCACTCTGTGTTTCATTCCACACTTGCTGACCATGGTTTCGTTTCAAAGCCCCGGCTGTGTTTGTTTCATACGCGCTAAAAACTTTCGTGTTATTGTCGATTTTCAGTGAGACTTTGATTTCCGCCGATTTTCTGGCCACACGTGCGTCCAGTGGCGTTACATCCAGTCGATAAAATCTGTCGAGTTTTGTGGAAAAACTTATTTCCGCGCGAGCCACAAACTTGGGGTGAAAGGGGCAGAGCAACACCAAAGCCAAAAGAGAAAACCCCCAAAATGACCAAAGTGCCATTGTGGTCTTCCAAACTGACAGTCCACCAGTGGGGGGGAAATACAGAGAGCGGCAGAGCTGTTCAACTTCTAAAATATTCAAGGCATCATCTTTATGAGCAAGAAGCCATTCAGGAGACCCGCTCACGTCCAAGAATTTGTCAAAGTGAGGGACCAGTTTGGGAGGCGCTGCGCATCAGACAAACGCACCGACGGTGAGTGACTGCGGGAACGGTTGGAGCTCATTGTTCATGAGGACGTTTGAAGAAAGAAAACATTTATAACGCTGTAATCACCCGAAATCATTTCGAAATTATTCCACAATTCTATTGTGTTTTATTCAGTAACATCTTAGACTCTTTATGTTGCCTAAACCTGTGCAATTTGTCCAAAACAGAGCTTGAATGACTCAGAGCTGTTGACAGCAAAAGTAATTTGTGCTTTGCAGTACCCTGTTCATTCTGTGGCAACGTTTTGCCTTTGAAATGGCAGGGAAAAAAAACATCATTTGCTTGCATCAATCAACACCGGATTCACTTGTCAAATGTGCACGCGCGAGAGTAAGGGTGCGTTTGGGGGAAATTCAGATGGACTTTCTGATAAACATCCATGACTGATATCATTCTAAAATGCATTGCAGCAGAGATTCGGAATTATCTACCTTTCTTTGTCTGTTGACACTGTAACTTTTTTTTTCCAATTACGCCACAGACACGGTGTGCCTCAGGCCTTCTACTGCACAACAGCCCAGGATAGAAGAAGAGCTTTGAAGTCATATAATGATATGTTTGGCACCATCTTCATGACTTGTGTTCCCACTGAGGCAAGAAGGATCAAGTAGCTCTTTCAATCTTAGCACTTCGACAGTTTTTATTATTCCGTCATTTTTAGAGTGTACATTTGAAAACTGAGTTTCCTCCAAATCAATATGCAATTTAAAAGGTATTAGTTTCAATTAGTGCAGCTAAATGAATCCCGAAAAGGCAATTCCAACTTCCTGCTGACTGAGCTGTCTGTCAGTTCTTGAAATTGTGTGTCAATATTTTAAAAAGTACTCCTGAAATACTTGTTTGTGCTATTTTGAGTGCATAAGTGCATTCACAGTTGCACAAGCAAGCCTAAAAGTACACACTGTGACGTCACCCTTAGCTTTGATCTCTGCATTTTGAAACCTTAACATTAGGATTTTGGCTGGCACCATATTTGATTTTTAAGCCAGAAGTTACATTATATGGATGAAAGGATGGAGTGATAAGTTGTGCTATTTAGGAAGGTTTCCTAGTAACCTACATTTGAGTGGTGAAACACACATTGGCTAATTAGTCCTAAAGTAATAGACTAATAAAAGGTGTATCTCCATGTTGGTCTTGTTTCTGCATCATCATCATAATGTTGTTGCAGCATCAGCACTGCAATTGACCAATCATGTTGTTGTGATGTCGGAGCTTTGCTATGTGGTAAAGACATGTATGTTTCAACCAAGTTTCATGCTGGTTCCATACATGCCAACCTTCCAGATTTTTCGGGGAGAATCATGAATTTCAGTGCCCCCCCCCGAAAATCTCCTGGAGTCACCATTCTCCCAAATTTCTATTGATTTTTCACCCGGACAACAAAATTGAAAAACCATATCGTAGAATTCATAGCGCGGCCCAGCCAATTCCAGTTTCCAACAATGGCGGCAGCTACTTAGTTTTAATATTACTCTTATTACTCTTTCTGGGTCGCAAAATAAACTTTTAATATATTTTCAGGCGAGAAATCGATTTGGATGAGATTAAAGTTATTAGATCAGGTTAGATTAAATTTAACTTTATTAATCTCTTGGGAGGGTTCCTCCGGGATTTTCACACAGCCGAATAAACATCAAACAGAAAACTGATTAAACAGAAGTGTGAGATGGTCGAGAATTTATGCTAGCGTCCGGTTATATTTTTGACAGAAGGAGCAGACGGCAGAGTTTCACTCCACCGAGAGAGCTCGTGACGTAATTCTGAAGGCTAGACCGTCCAAATGCACAGTCGCTCACTTCCGGCCTGCCCGGCTTTCAGAGGACCCGGCCCACAGACCGCGGAGGTCCTCAGGAGGATGCAGCCTCTGAATTTGGATGCCCCCGCTGTTTCTGGCCAGCCAATAATAACGATGACATTTAACTTATTTTATCTGATAAATAAAAACTGTAAAATTCAAGTTTTTTGTATACATATACATATATATATATGTATACCACCCCCCACCCCCAACAGCCCTTTTCAATGTCTCCCTAATTCTGAGGTCTCAAGGTTGGCAAGTATGGTTGGCTCCATGTTGGTTTTAAATAGCATTAGCTACTCTTAAATAGCATTAGCTAACTTCATGGCTAATGCTAACTGAACTGCTAACTGAACTGGTTAATCCTGGACCATCATTGTTATAGTGATGCAGGAGTAGGGCTGCACGATTAATTGTTAGAAAATCGCGATCTCGATTCATACTTATGTGCGATCTCATTTCCAAATGACAACGATTTAAAAAAAAAAAAAAAAGACGACGACGAACGCTACACAGTGCCGTCCCGCAACTATTTTTCTATTGTTGCACTACCTGCTCTATACATGCAGCGTCGAGCAACGGTGGAGACGGAATTTCAAGCAGTACAACATTTTGCGGCAACAACAAAACGTGAGACATTTGTTGTTTTTATGTTTATTTATTGTTTTTATGTTCAGTCTCAACTGTTACGAAGTTGATGTGAAGTTAATAAGTGCAATAAATATTTATACTGGAAAAGTAAATCGTGAGAGAATCGTGATCTCAATTCTAAGCCAAAAAATCGTGATTCTCATTTTATGCAAAATCGTGCAGCCCTATGCAGGAGTCACACCAACAAAGGGATATCACATTGTAAAAATGCTGGATTTAAAATCTGAAGTACCGTGTTTATGTATGTCCAAACTATTGTGTGTGTGTGTTTTTTAACAGACTTTTATATATGCCTTTTATTTCTGTAAATTTGGCCACTTTAACATGGAAGTCTATGGGGAGCAAGCTTCAAACAAGCACCCAGAGAAATGCAGTTTTCAGGGGTTGTCCCTTGGCCTACACATGCAGCACATCAGTTCTGATAACAGTCATGCTGAACATGGAACTGATCTCTTCTTCCTTTCAGCGGTTGCAATTTTGGAAATTGTAGGGTCTTGACCTTTCAGCATAAAGCATGTTGAATGTTGTTGGCACTTTATAAGTAGACCTGGATTGAATTGAATTGAAACAAAACAGAAAGAAAGGGCTGACCAACCAAATGTCAGCCAGTAGCAAAGGAGATCGTCAGTGCTATCTAGGCAATTAATGGTGGCATTTTTCATCAGCTATTAATGTTACATGTCTTAATAGCTGTCTTTGGTGTAGAAGAATTTAGTACTACATTTTTGATGAGAGGATCAAAAATATGACAGCTGTGGTGATAATCACAGTCTGATTCTCCTGTCTTCATTTTTGATAAGTGAACAGTTTGCATCATTCAATTTGAAATAACACCATCTTGTTGGAATTTGCGCACTATGTTAATAAATATGCATATACACAGTGCACTACATGGAAGCGTAGTCCACAGATGTATTCAAATGGAGACACAGTGATAGGCCTATGTTTACATCTGCTGCCAGACAGCTGCCCAAAGGATAACAATAAACAGAAGTATTTTCATCTTTTCCAAGGACGACAAGCACAGCACAAAAGCAGTAACCAGATATGTTTTTGTATGTTACTTACATTTTGAGATAAAGTGAGAGCAATAATACCCGTCAAGGTTAAAAAAAAATCCATGAGATGCTTAAAAATGGATCCCACGGTTGCATGAACATGAAAAATAGAGAAAAAAGCCAACTGTCCCATCTTATTCTTCATTTGATAGTGAACAAAGTACTTCAGAACAAGTAAAATCAAATCATAACGATTTTCAGATTTCATATTCAGGAATGCAGCCTTTTACTCTACTGTTACAACTCTCAGCAGCAAAATCATGCATCTGCTCAGCTGTAAAACATAGTGGAATTGGGGGTTGAGAAAATTTACAGCCCTTGAAAACTGTGCAGCAAGAACAACCGCAAAACAATTCGCTAGAAGGACTGACGTCGACATGAGTTCAGTGCTGAGAACAGCACCTTCGGATCATGCACACATTCACAGACAGTGCAGTGAAAACAGCAATCAGAAGGTAAGCCGGCAGTCCCATCCGCCTCAGAGGGCTCAATTCTTGGTCATTAGCTTTTGGCACGGCTGTACAAACAAATTGAGATTCATACAAGTGAGTACTCAGGGCAGCAGGTGCTACTGTTGCATCTCCACAGCACGCCAGACAGCTAACTCTCTCTACAGGCCATTCCCGCCAGAACGCCCCTGCAATGAGGGGGTAATTGGACTGATCACACTCTGTTTACCCATTATGCTGCTAAAATGAAGTGGGTTGTTCCCAAACACACTGTGACAGGCCAGGGAGGGAGGAGGAGCCTCTTCTATCAATGACACATCTTTTAATCTATACTAACCTTGGGCAGGGAGCATTGTGCGAATTCGCTGTTTGCCTCATTGTGCATGTTCATGTGTGCGTCTGTGTAAGACAGAGAGGAAGAAAGAGGAAGAGGCGAGCATTTGTACTTTTATGAAGAAGTATCAGGGGGAGAGTTTTTAATGTGTCTGTGCCCTACATCCTGTGTGTGCTTTCACTATGACAAGGAATATTGCATATCTTCCTGGGTGGAGAACATCTCAAATTCTGCATAAAACTTAGCTACAGTGAAAGAGAATAGGCAAAAAGAGAGATGAGAGGACAAGACTGAAAACTGTGTACATCGGTGGAGCTCATTTAATTTTATATGCTCCCCTCCCCAGTGTAGATCATTAGCAAGATTATCAGATGTAATCATCTCATTTCTCTTGGCACATAACTCTGACAATCCTTGCAAACGGTACCATCCTCTCTCCTGTTTCAACCGAAGACAGGGAGCAAACTCTAAAGCTTTCAGGACAAAATCCCATTTGTGCATCCGCTGTCTGCATCCCAAGCTTGTTAGTTCCAACACTTCAGTGATCCCGGCGGAGCAGACGCACAGGCAGTAGCAGGAACCATAATGGCCATCACCCAGACAGCTCACACTCGCATGCAAGAGATGAACA